ATGTTGCTACCATATTTTTTACGGTAAAATTCTGGCAACCACAGCTGCCAGTTTTTTACTGTAAATTATATGATATTTAAAAAAAAAAAAGTACTTTTCTAAAGAGCACTTACAGGTTTTTTCAATTGCTTAAGCACAATTTTGAAAACAGGGCTCGGTTTTTCAAACCCCTTCCCACAATTAGCACAACAACACTACACTAAAGTAGCACAACACCTCAGATAATTTGCAAAATGAAACACTTTTGTCAAAACTATACAATGTCTTATAAAAACCTTATTTTGTTGTCATAACAAACACAATCATCATATGGTCTGATTCTGTTTGAATCAGTTAAACACTCCTGTGCTCAACCTAAAACAATTTTAGCATTTACACAGAGAAAGTGTAAAAATAAATTCTACATTTCAACAAAACATTCATAAAACATTTTCTAGTTTACATACATTATTACTGAACGTACCATTGTACTGTAAGCTTACAATAATACTGTAACATAAATTACATATCCAGTTCAGTACCGAATAAAAAAAATAATAAAAACCTAAACATCTCTCCGCCTAGCTGGATCTGGCCACAGGGCCTCGTCAACATCACAGGCTATATTTTAATTTGCAAGGCAACGTGGGAAGAATCTTTTGGAGTGACGAATCCACCCTTGTATGGATGCTGCTTCAATTTGATCACATGCTTCCTCCATAGCTTGAATGAGGGCCATCTGGACATAGGGCCGGAGATCATAAACCTTCCACCGCCATGCTGAGAAGAACTCCTCGATGGGGTTTAGGAAGGGGGAGTATGGTGGAAGGTATTGAACTGTAAATTGTGGGTGTTGATGAAACCAGTTTTGGACCAGAGCAGAATGATGGAAAGCTACATTGTCCCAGACGACAATGTATTGCATCTGGTCCCTTTGGTTTGCTGCTGTGATAATATTGTGTAATCTGTCTAAAAATGTAAGAATGCGGTCAGTGTTGTAAGAACCCAAGTTGGCATGGCGGTGGAGAACCCCATTCTGTGTAATGGCAGCACGAAGGGTAATGTTACCCCCACGTTGCCCTGGTACATTGACAATAGCCCTGTGGCCAATGATGTTTCTTCCCTTTCTTCTCACTGTTGTCAGGTTAAATCCAGCCTCATCGATGTATATAAACTCATGCGGGACTTCCTCCGCATCCATTTGCAAAACTCTCTGAAATACAGCAAAATATCACATTGTGTAGATCAATATACTGTAGGTCTGCTATACAGTAAAATTGCATGTACAGTAAAAAGATTATGTGTACCAGTACACAATACTACAGTCAGTGAACAAAACGTACCACCACATATTCATGCCGCAGGACTTTCACCCTGTCTGAATTTCTTTCAAAAGGCACTTTATACAGTTGTTTCATCAGAACTTGATGTTTTTTAATGTTGACAGAGAGATCTGTTGGACATTATTGGAAGCACCAGTGTGTGTGCGCACCTGGTGGCTGCGTTTAACCAATTGGTTCATGGTTGTGTTCATTTGAAAGCCTTTGCTTTGAAATTGCAAGGAAATTACATCATGATACATTTCTGTGTCAAATGCATACAAGTGTGTTTAGTGTTTTGCAAATCACTGTGTGTGATGTTTTGCAAAACGTGTGAAGCTGACAATGTGCTTACAGTTGTGCAAATCTAGGCCAGTGTTTTGCTCCTTGAGTGTAAGGTTTTGCTAATTGTGGGAAAGTTTTAATTTTAGTGTGTAAGCAATTAAAAAAAACTGTAAGAGATTTATGAAATAACATAAGTTAATAAAATATATTTGAGTGTGAATTGAATGTAATGTTTTGGATACTTAAATGCATGTTATTTACAATTAAATGAAAATGTATTATACTTTACATTTATAATAAAAGCAGTAGGACTTCAGTGCATCTTTATATGTAATTTCATTAGTACTTTATTTTTGACATAAGTATATATTACTCATAATTACTTATACTTTGAATTTACTAAATTGTATATGTATTATATCTGTGGTTAAAATAATTCTGAAGACTGTATCACAATGTGTATTGTAATAGATCATAATGCAATACAGGCTTCAAGTCTATATATATATATATGTTCATAATAAATATAAACAGTACACACACATACGGTATATTAAGAAAACAAAATATTTTATTTTGGTTTTTATTTTCAATTCCGTTTTTGTCCATCAGCACTGGGACTTTTCAGTCCACTTGCCGGGCATTTCCACAAGCACACACACACACACACACACACACACACACACACATAAAGGTGCATTCGGCCGCAGATGTGAAAATGAGAGGGGCTTGGTGATAGGAACACAGTGTTTCTGTCAGAACATCAGGTCACATCTTCAAGACATCACAGTCCGGAGGATCACACATGCTGACCGTCACAGAGACGATTCGAGAACACTTTTAACACTAATATCAGTCGAGATCCCAAACGTAATTCATCTGCTGCACAAAAAGAAAGACTAATAATGACATATTCAGTTGACAGGAAAAGGTTGTATTATTTTTTAATCAAGCTGTATTAAAGAATGCTTTATTTTATTCATGATTCATATCTCATTAAGTTAAATCATTAACACGGATTCCTGAGCACACAATACCTTTTATCCATTTTTCATATCCTCAGAGAGTTTTACAGTAACATTAGCAACGGATGCTGAAGAATAACTTGCAATGTTATACTTGTAAGTAACTCAGTAAAGAGTTTAATTGTTGTGCCTCTGAATAATAAAAGGCATGGGTTTGCTCAGAGAATCAGTGTCTTTCAGAAGTGGACTGGATTCATCGCTCCAGACAGGACTGACAGCTGCGCTCCAAACTGGGAAATGAGGAGACCAGAGGGGGAAGAGAGAGATGAAAACAGTTATTTTAATAAACCTGGCCTACCTTTACTCCTCTGGTGCTATGTACACATAACCTTGTTTATCAAAGCGACTGTTTGAAGCGCTCGTCTATGTTTTTTTCTCTTTCATTTTTGCAATACCTGCAGCCTCGAGCGGCTCACTCACTGACTTTGTTGTTTGCCGTGTTTTCTTACTTTTTCCTCCCTCTTTCTCTCTCTCCCTCCCTTCACTTGCTCTTTTGTAGCGCAGGGTTGAATTTTGGGTTGAGCCGGAGAAGAGACGCAGTGATCCCGTCAACATCTCTCGCACATGAATGCATTGGGTACTGTGCATGTGTGTTAAATACAGCTTGCACAGCAATGACTGCAGGAGAGTCCGAGGTGCTGCAGGGGGCTGAGGAGGCCATGACCTCTGACCCTGAGACCTCAGCTGTGCAATATTACACACATGTGTAACCCCTCTCTCCCGGGGCCTCACTGCCACACCTCGTTCTTGTTCCGAGTGGGTCTCCGGCATGGGAGGTGGACACACTAACAAGGAGGCTAAAGACTGCAGCCACTAGCGTCAGTCGCTAGTGCGTCTCTTGAGATCAGGGGAGTGAGGTTTACCTGCACAGCACTTACCGCTGGCCTCCGTTACACTCACCCCCTAAACCTCACTCCCATCCGGGTCACGGCACCAATGTAACCCCTCTCTCCCGGGTCCTCACTGCCACACCTCGTTCTCGCTCCGAGTGGGTCCCGAAACCGGCTCTCCGGCATGGGAGGCGGACGCACTAACAAGGAGGCTAAAGACTGCAGCCACTAGCGTCAGTCGCTAGTGCATCTCTTGAGATCAGGGGAGTGAGGTTTACCTGCACAGCACCTACCGCTGGCCTCCGTTACACAAGCACACCTACGTTTCTGTCAACTTTTCATTTTCTCTTTCTCAGTGCAGTTCGGGTCAATTTGAACAAGCTTTATTAACATGGTAAACAAGGCTATACAGATAGACAGCAAGACAATAACTGTGACATTTTTTCTGCAACTATAGATAATAGGTGCAAGCATTAGTAATCCCAATTCAGTACGGAAATAAATTCAATCACAAATAAGTATGTGCATATTATAATGAGCAAGCATTCAAACGTTAATGACTTTGATGATACTGTAAGTAAACCATTTATAGGGTTGAAGGTTTCTTCATTTTGTTAACACTTTATACAACACTGATCGTTGTAAAGCAGCTTCACAATAATGAACAGGAAAATAACAGTCAATGACAAATTATGCTATAAGCAGCTTTAAAAAAGACACCAGTGTTATTATTCAGCTCAGTTCTGACTCATTTCAATAACTGTGTAAAGTAAATCAATTGAAACAATTTCAGTTCAGCTGTAACTAAGAAGACAATAATGTCCTTATTCAGCTCAGTTCATTGTAATTAATCATTTATTAACAATGAATCAATTATGAATGAATTTGATTCAGCTATAAAGGAGCTCTACAGAAAACAATAGTGCCTTCATTTAGCTTTGTTTGACCAATGGAACACGGGGGAGCGTTCAGAAAACAGTCATTTAACGTGTAACGTTTAAAAAACAGACAACACCCCTCAAACTTAAATTACCAAACAGATTTTAAATGAAGTCTGTTCATAAAAGTTATTGTACTCTGCCCACAGTATATCAACCCTAATCCCTTGAAGCACCCGCCTTCTTCCCAAAAACCCGCCCACAATATGTTTAATCTGCTAGTGTCACTCAAAATGACTGACAGGCAGAAAAGCTTTCCGATTGGCTAAAAAGTGCATGCTGATTTTATTTCAGATACTAGTGCAGCTGAGATTTCTCACACACCTTTTCCAGGCAGGTAGTAAGATTTTACGCGTGGTTTTAAACAAAAGCTCTTTCAGCACATTAAGTGTTTCGAGCTGAATTAATTGCTGAAAGCTGTGGAGAAGCAGAAGACTGGAGTAAGCACGCAGTCGTTTCTCCGCTGATGAAGCTGTGTGTGTGTGTGTGTGTGTGTGTGTGTGTGTGTGTGTGTGTGTGTGTGTGTGTGTGTGTGTGTGTGTGTCTCCGTCAGTAGGGGGCGCCTGTCCCCTCGTGAAGAGCGCCGGTGACGTCAGGGCCCTCTCTCTCGCCGCTCGCAGCGCAACAGAGTATCGGAGCGAGCGGGAGACGCGGAGAGAGCGCACGGGGCGCGCGGATCGGCTGGAATAAGAAACATTTCCCAACACTTTCAAAAACTTTCTCAACTCGGCCGACAGATATGGATACCATCATTTTGAGCATATTACTCCTGCATACGGCGTTTGGAAGCGCAGGAGCCCAGTACACTCCCGGTAAGTAGCCAAAGATTCACCTTTAACGATCCCCGGAGCGGAACGAGCAAAAGTTTACGCGGCCGTTGCATTGAATGCGTGCGCACCTTTACACCTCAGAAGTTCATTTGTGTGTCCAGGTGGCTCTTTTAGCAGGGAATGAGTGAGGGGTGCTGATGGTTTGGGCTGGTTTTGTGTTGGAGAATAGGGACACACAGGCATCAGCTGCGGAGTGAAAGTGCTCCACCGAACCCTATTAACCCTCCTCAGCCATCCGCTCGGGATTTCTGTCGTGATTGGAAGAAATATCCCCTTCTGTCCAACTACACCAAAACTAGATTTAATTTCTAACGACTCGACGAATGGTTACATTGCAGGGAATTCAGCGACAATCTCAAACTCCGAATCCTCCGTTTGAACAGTCTCGCAGGAAAACAGTTTTCTAAGTCCTGGTAAAAAGTAAAGGGCTATTCATTTAAGAATAGAACAATCTGTAAGAATGTGTTTCTTTAGAATGTTATGCCTTCACATTATAATATGAATCCCCACAGGATTTCTGTGCGTAATTCCTGAGGATTTTAAGAACTCGGGAAAATAGAGAAAACCTGATGAACTTTTCAAAATGCAGGATCAAAATTGTATTTTTTTTATTTATTCTGTTCATTCGGTAATGATGTTTCTTTCAGGAGTAACTTGCAGAGTGTTTTTGAGAGTCAGAATCAGTTTATAAATATATATATATATATAATATAAACATGTACATACAGTATATTAGTTGTTATTATTCTAGGATAGAGCAGTTTTAGCTGGAGCGCAAATGTGACCGTAAAGCATCATGATATATTGGGTCAAGACTAGCACATGAAATACTTTTGTCAGATGTTTTAGTTGTTTTTCGTGCAGATATGAGGATAAAGTAAAGCTGTTGCAATGTTAAAATGCTTTCAGATGAGAGAAATGCATGAGTTTAGCTTTGATAGTGTTTCCAAACGTGTCACTCGAAATTGTTCTGAGTCGACTCACGGTATCAGACATTCAGTTACAACATGTGAATCACGTTGTTCTTGCCACACTATTACCACCATCATCATTATTACTGTTGGTCTCTTTGTAAATAAAGGAAATGTAAGAGGTACGAGGTCAGATGAAGCTAAACTGTGTTTTTTTTTCTTTTTAAACAGACATTTTGTAAAAATCATAAAAGTTTCTGTTTTCAGACAAATGTTTTCCAGCACATCTAATCTTGTGATTTGGGGTGATGCTCACATCTGTCTGACTGTAACCGTATCACAGATCGTCTGCAGGGGTTGGTGGGGGGGGGGGGATACAGCTGTCTGTGTAATTGCTGATTAATTAATCAGTGAGTCTAACCCTCGGATTAATTCTATTAGAGTAATCAAAAACAACGGATGACAAATGGCAAATTACGGGAGGCTGAGATTGATTAGTGACTGGTGTAATTATGCCAGCGTGTTATGGAAAGGAAGAGGGGGATCAGCGCTCGCTGTGAATGAGCGAGATAATCCCTGATATCGCTCTCTTTCTCTTTCTCTGGACGCAGCTCAAATGGGACACGCGGAGAAAGGTGAGTCGTAAATCCACACCGCTATCATCATCATCATTGGCATCATCATCATCATCATAAACATCTGTCCAGGGCATCTGTGTCTGAGTGATTGACCCGATGGCCTCGTCCTGATGTGCCGCTCTGTCATGAGCTGCAGGGTTTGCATGACTGTGAGCCGCAGTGATGCACACAAACACATCAACGTATATCATTCAGCTGTGTTTACCCTCCAAATACACACCAACAGGAAAACCGTCACTTCCCAGAATTCCCTCGCAATCAGCTTTCAAAGCAAAAGCAAAGCTGGAGTTGTGTTTGTAATGAGCCCCGTCTTGATTCTTTTACTCAGGTACATTCAGAGTACATTTCATTGCAGGCTGTCATAGAAACATGACTACAGAGAAGGACAAACGGAAAGTTTGCTTTTGCATTTCTTTAGAGGAGTTGGCGTGGCGACTTTGAACAGGTTTTTATAGGAAAGCCTTGTGAACGGCACTCAGACACAATAGCAAAATCTGCACATTTCTTACCCTACTGCTGCAGACGCCGATTACAGCCGTGTGTGTGTGTTTACGCTTTTACAGCCGAGGGAAAACAAGGTCTTCCGTGTGACTTTAACAAGGCATTTGTGCGTGAGTCGTGAACGGCTAGCTCATGATTTGAATATAATGCTTTGCCTTTCGGGTCATTATTTTGGCTGATTCCGTGCCGCTTGTCATCGGTGTGGATGTAATGATAGAGATGGGATGTGAAGTGATGTTTAGTGAGTCTGAGGAGGAGTGGAAGAATATGAGCGTGTGTTTTGTCTTCCACACCGAAGGTCTTCGCCCCCGAGAGCTGAGATTCGGTGCAACGGTCATCTAATCAGCAGGAATGAGCCTGATGCTCCTGGAGAACAGCACTTGACTGCCTGTCATCTGTGTGGAGCTTTTTTCAACATTGTATTTTTCAACATGTAATAGCCAACAAGAAAAGAACAATTGATTTCATCTATCAGTCAATCTGGACGATGAAAAGTCACTATATGTGAGCCTGGAGCACAAAAGCAGTGTTAAGTCGCTGGGGTATATTTGTAGCAATAGCCAACAATACATTGTATGGGTCACAATTATTGATTTTTCTGTTATGCCAAAAATCATTAGGATATTAAGTAAAGATCATGTTCCATGAAGATATTTTGTAAATTTCCTACCATAAATATATCAAAACTTAATGTTTGATTAGTAATATGCATTGCTAAGAACTTCATTTGAACAACTTTAAAGATGATTTTCTCAATATTTAGATTTTTTTGCACCCTCAGATTCCAGATTTTCAAATAGTTGTATCTCGACCAAATATTGTCCTATCCTAACAAACCATACATCAATGGAAAGCTTATTTATTCAGCTTTTCATATTTATAAATATTATAAATATCAAATTATCAAGGGTCAATTTCAAAAAATTGACCCTTATGACTAGTTTTGTGGTCCAGGGTCACATTTAGAAAAAGAGGTGGAGCAAGTTGTCCCATTTTGATGAAAGCATGCTTAAGCAAGCATTTCAAATGTTTGGATCGTTAGGAATCTGTACCAGTGAATCATATTCTCAGTAAGAGCTGGAACATGACTTAAAGGGATAGTTCATCCCAAAATAAAAATTCTGTCATCATTTACTCACCCTCAACCTGTGTGAATTTCTTACAGCTGTTGAAAACAAATGATTGTATTTTGAAGAATTCTGGTAACCAAACAGCTGACGATAGCCATGGACTTCCATAGTGTGGAAAAAAAATACTATGGAAGAATTCAACGGCTACCATCAGCTGTTTGGTTATTCTTCAAAATATCTTCTTTTGTGTTCTGCAGATGAAAGAAAGTCATACAGGTTTAAAACAAAGGTGAGTAAATAATGACATAATGACACCCTTTAAGAAAGTGAATAGTGTCAATTTGAGTCTCACGTTGACTTTAAAGGCAACATCTTGTGGCATTTACAATAAAATATTATTGGTTAATATTAATTTCCCATGTGCACCAATGGAAAGAGGTTACTTTTTAATTTTTTTTATATCATGCGCAAGACCAGAGAGAGACATGAAAGGAAGAAGGGTTTTCATGTGAATGTCTCGTGCAGTGCATCCCATCTGCAGAGCAGTATGTGCTTGTGTTGCTGACAGGTCACAGAGGCCCTTACGTCTGTGTTAAATCACAGCTCCGTCCGCGGACGCAAGTTGCTTATCACAGCAGCTGCGAGAGAGCACCGCACGTATTTTGCAGACTCGCTACAAAATCTATTTACAGCAGACAGGTACTGTCTTCGAACAGCGATTTTTTTCTCCTAGTTGAAGTTTCTCAGATTATGCACGGGAAATCAATACCTGACAAGTACGTCAGGCGCTTTAGTGTTTCATCTGATGCAGCTGTATGGATTTTTAATCCAGTCCTGCATAGCGTCACATAGTCTTCTCGGCTCAGGCTGTGGTTTTGTCAGCACGAGTTGATGCTCAGTGAATGTGAATGAATGAAGTTATTCTCATTAGAAACTGAGCTCAGCTGTCAGTGGTTTGGGTTGAGTTGAAAATATCGATTTCTTGATTTAATCGATTTCAATAAACTGATATTGATTCTTAAATGGCAAGAATTGATTTATGTTGTTTTCAGGTGATGCGTGAACAAAACGTACAAAACATTATTTGTAGCATGCCTCCAATCCAATAATCACAATAAGCTTTGTGCTTCGTTAGTTTTGATGTGAAACAAAGTCTCAACTTTCAAATTCTGTCAGTTTTTATTGCGAAATTCAAACATTAAACGTGGTTTTAGCACTAATGTGTCATGATATGTCGACAGTAATGCCTCAGTTCAAGCGGCACGTGAACCGATCATCTCTTCCTCTTTACTACTAGTTGCTGCAGGAAACGAACACAAATGAGCATTAGAAGAACAACATTTTAGAGAGGAGTATGTATTTATATTTACCTAGCCTGTTATTTATTTAGAAATAACAATTAATGTATGTTTGAATAAATCTGTAATGAAGACAAGTTTTTATGACGTTTACTGTTTAAATGTTTGTATTTCAACAACAAATTGGAGAAGAAACACTATTATATCATTAAACGTTAATATAATATGTTTTACTATATAATAAGATTGTTATTATTAGAGAAACTGCCTTATGTGCAATTTAAATCGCTTTAGTATTAATGTACCAACCAATAGCGTTCCCTCTATAGTTTACAGCTATAGTTGAGAGAGATTTTGCCTGTATATCCAAATGAATCAATATTGAATTGAATTGAATCAAGATTGAAACGGAATCAGTCACCAAGGTTTGAAATTAATTGTGAAATTTTGTGTCAATACCCAGCCCTAGTCAGTGGTCTATGCGTTGAGTAACTTTGTTCACTAGTGTCCTTAAGGTCATTTCACATTGACATTCCTCAGTGCTGCAGCCGTTACTCTCTCGAGCGTTGTAATGCAATACTCAAAGCTTGAGCCGTTCACCTTTCAAAGTGCAGCTAATAATTATTGGCTTATGTGAATAATATAACATTGTGTGAAAAAGATGTGCAGGAGAGATCGAACGTGTGTATCTAGATACTGCATGCTATATATGACACAACATCGTATTATGGCATACATAGAGTAATCATCATATTATACACATTAGATATTACATGCAAATTAATCAACAGTAAAATTTACTCTTCTCTTGTTAAAGTCAAAGTGCTGCATGCCGTTTTTGCAGAGACGTGCGCTGAAGCTCAAACCATGTGAATGAAGAGGATAAACAGTGATGAATGCCGTTCTTTGATGGAGTCTGTATAGTGTAATTTATGTATTTTCCTGAGGGTCACAGGGCTCAAGGTGCTGTGGACGACCCTCAGAGAAGCACATGCATTTCCAGAGAGAGAGAGAGAAATGAGGAGAAGAAACGTGAAGAGGAGGCTGTTTGTGCTGCTCTTTGTGGTGGCAGCACTTTGAGGATTAGAGCAGTAATGGGCAGCAGTGCTGTAAGCTCCTTTAGAGAGCTGACCGGCCCGTCCTGAGAGCCGCTATCTCAGAGCGGGATGGACGGACAAAGAAGGGAAAGTCGGATTGAGGATTTGGTCATTAGATTGTTTTTGTTTTATTTTGTGTCTGCTCTGTCCCATGGGCTTTAAAGAGCGCAGTGTTGTGATTTGTGACCGTCCTGATATCCATAAAGATTATGATGATGGTGGTGATTATCAAATTAAGCCCGCAGCGCTCTCTTTGAAGGAAAATATCCTCTCTCTCTCTCTCTCGCTCTCAGCGCTACGCCAAAGACTGTGTGCCGGCGTCACGTAGTTACCCTCAGAAGTGTGTCGCTCTTTCAGAGCTCAGGAGACTTCATGAGCTTCTCAGATGGCTACTTATCAAGTATCAGTTTTGTCCCAGGTGTTTTCTCTGTAAATTCTTTAGGAGAAATAAAATGAGGTAGCTGCTTTTGGAACTGAGTTTGATTGTGAGTCTTTTGACGGCAGAATTTGATATGAAGTCAGAGCACAGTTTGAGATGTGGTTGAGATCTCTTCTCACACTCTAGACACAGAGGAGACTTTGTAGGGCTGGACGAATAATCGAAAATTATTCTAAACCGATAGCATATTTACAGTACAAACTTTGTCAGTCAACTATGAGGGCAAATAAATAATTCAATAAATTAAGCGTTAAACATAATCGAGGTAAAATGTTCAACTAATCGAGATTTAGATTTTAGGTCATATCGTCCAGCGCTAAAGGTCTCTGCACACTGAGTCCGAATTTTTCGTCCGAAATTTTCGCACGTTGAAAAATAAATACGATCTCACGTTGTGTCAATCACGTTTACACACTACCTCTGAAACTTTCATCCGTAATAAAAAAATTCGGACCAGGTTTGATTTTCTGCGTTTTCGCATCCGTAGCAAGCATTTTGATAGGAAAGGATGACGAATACGAAAAAAAAATGGAAATGGTGGTGATTATCAAATTAAGCCCGCAGCGCTCTCTTTGAAGGAAAATATCCTCTC